GCTCGAGCTGTAGCTGGTGCTCACATCAAGCATCACAGCCCTGCATCAGAGCGGAACTACACAGCGTCGCGGCGCAGGCTTCGGAGCTCACGGGACCGGAGCTCACGAGCCCATGCACGCTAGCCACGTCGCGACGGGCGTTAGGACGTCCGTCTTTTCTTTTCAAGAACATGAACAAGCTGCGCTGTGCTTCTGATGGTCTTCCCTCGGTCGCACTGCGCGCACTTCAAGGAATCCACAATGGGCTGCCCTGAGAACTTGAAATAAGCAGAAGACTTAGCTCTGCCACAAACAAAGTAACCCTTGTCAGCATCAGCAAGAGGGAGCAAATGCACTGTCCGGCTATGTCGGTGCTGCCAAATCTGACACTCTTGACGCCACACCGGCTCGTCTAGCGGCGCAAGATGAGGCCCTGGCTCCGACTCCACCTCAGAGTCTGTCGAAGAGGAGCTGGACGAGCTCGATGACTCGGAGCACTTGGAGGGTTCCGTCCCCGCCCCGGCGGGGCAGGGGCTAGGATTCCGTGTCACCTCGGAGTGATCATCATCACCTGCATCAAAACAAGGACTCCCCGGGGCTTGCTCCGGGGATGCAGAAGCCAGACTTTCGGGCCACCTCACCATGTTGAGTCCACCGAATTCGCCCAAGGGCTCTTCGGCGCGACTGTCCGATGGCTCCTCCGACGCTGCGCCAACCTGGGCGCTGGCCTCTGGGAAGTATCCGCTTCTCGAGACGTCTGGCAAAAAGGTGCCTGTGCGTATCGCCAAGATGCACGCCTCTAAATCTCGCAGCGGCGATGCCAAAGTATCTCTAGCATAACACTCAGCCGATCCACGATCATTGTGATTGCCTAGACGCGTTCTAACATCTTTCGCAATCCCGTATTTAGCGCACCAGCTGAGGCAAGTAGCTTTGCACGAATGCGCACTCAAAGATGTTGCACTTGCATGCCCAAGATTGGTCAGCAACTGAACCATCCACGCCCTGGCCTCGTTCGTGGAGCAGCTCGTCCTGAGCCACCCTCCTTGACTCGGGAGCGGCAGCAGTGGACCACGGACGTCCCGCGCAAGCCTGTCGAGTGGTAAGCCGGCCTCCGTTGCGACACGCTTCCACTGCTCAATCCAACTTCCCTGAGTAGCCCCCCGCACCGGAGCCACCAAGGGAATCGAAGGGAAGTGCCTACGCATCTTATGGGACCAAGACAGCACTTCGACATACCCAACGACATCCTCGTCCTTCTGGATGAGGTCAAAGACAACATTAGATACGATCTTGCAATCACCAAACCTCGCTCTTGAGTAAACCAGGAAGAGGAAGCATCCAGCGGCATAAAGGTCTTGCACCGCCCCTTGCCCCTTCTTCAAAAACTCTTCCAAAGCACTGACCTCACCAACAGTGAGCGGTCGTGCCTTGGCCATGGGTTTAGCGTTGGCCGCAGCGTTCCTCAAAATGCCTCTGATCCAAGGTGAGTCCCCCGCATTGTCGGCGATCGGCAGACCTACCACATGCCTGAGGAAAGAAACCATCTCGAGTACACCCTTGATTCTTGAAGCAGGCGCAGCATCCTGAACCAATTTTTTCAAGTACAAGCGACACACATGTTCAGTCAAGGGGAACGGTTTGACCTGGGAAAGCAAGGCCCAAGCCAGAAAAGCCTTGACTTGCCTCAAACGTTTTTCAAGCGTCGACAAAGCTTTGCCTCCCAGAGTCTGGGTAACGATCGCAAGTTTCTCGGCCTGGTCTTCTGCAGACGCCATCATTACGCCGAGGACGGAATCACCCGCCCACGGCAGGACCACCTGCAACCACTCTTGGTAGACCAACCCAAACCTGTCTTGTTCAGGAAGCCGGTCCCTTCGGAAAGCATCTCTATTCCACTCTGCTGCAAAGGCTCGCTTCTGAAAGCTCGGAGCGCCTGGCTCCTCTGGTCCCAAGGGCCTGCACGTTGCGGTCTCCACGACATCTTCAATGTCAAGAGCCACCTTCGGCACGACTTCTGTCTCGCCGAAGACGACAGCAAGAGGCCCAGACTCCCATGGTAGGGTCAAGGCGGCGATGTTCGGGGAAGTGGTCAGAGCATCCACTGACATCCGACGCAACCTAGCACGAGCCTGTGGGTCCCATTCCCCGTCGCAAGCCATGAGTCTATGAAATTTGAAGCTGAGCCTCCTTCGGCAGCCAAACATGGGAAATAACGGCAAGACAAGTGTGCACCATTGTTCAACTGCACAAGACCTGCTCACCCTAAGCCCCCAAGACAAGAGTTGAGCA